TTCATTTAGCACGTAGCCTTTGACAAGTGCTGCCGCGGGTCGAGTCTGCTCGCAGAGTGCCTGGGCCGGAGCACCACCGCCTAGGAGCCCCCCAGGGCAATTCTGCTCAGTCCTGTCTGGTCGCCCAGAATTAGATATCGACCCGGTAGCCAGCTCACAGCCACCTTTCAAATTTCCCTTTCTTTGTGGTTTTTTTGTTCTTATATAAATCTGAAAGAAAAATCCCTAAAGGCTATTTCTCTAGAGGACTACGTTTGAAACAGGGTCATTTTCTGAGGGGCATTTTCTGTTCGGTACCTGTTCCCGTGTGGTGATTGATGTGTGGGATTCCTGGTAGCCCCTGTGACTGCGTAGATCTGCCCCATCGGGCTCCCCAGCCTGTGACCCCAAAGGACCCCGATGCTTCTTTTCCCCCTTGAAGCTGCGGCGTGGGTTTGAGCCGCAGTCTTTCCTAGGACAGCCACGTGCGTTACCAGCGGTGGTGCCCCCTGCGCTCCTGACACCGTGACCATCCCTGGGAAAGACCAGGTCCGGCCCCCTGGCTGTGGCTGAGCTGTGACGGTGATGCGGTCTGTTTCACACCTGGTTCCCGCTCTGTCCCTCACGTGAGCACCTGGTTCTGAGCTCCGTCCGTGAGCCGGTGCCTCATCAGCGTGCCCCCGAATCTGTCGTGAGGACAGTGCGGCACTGGACAGTGTTCTGTTCTGTTGTGCAGGGCCCCCTGTGAGGAGAACCGACTTGATGTCCCCTCTCAACCCCAAGCCCCCATGAACACGGGCTCTCGTTGGCCGCGTGCTTCCTCCCAGCGCTGGCCCCTTCATTCTCCTGCATAGGAAACCTCTCTCCTGCACGGTCTCTGTGCGCGTCTCGTTTGCAAGCCACCCGAAAAGAGAACCACCGTCTCTGGTCACCTCGGTTGTCCAGGAGACGGCGGCTGTGGGTGTGGGAGTGACACGGTGCCTGGCGAGCCCCTCGGAGCCTTTGGGGTCTCCAGTCAGCACACAATGGGGTCTCAGGTGGGCAGTTGAAGAGCCCAGCTCAGACATACCCCTCCACGCCCCCAGTGTCGCCCGGCACAGCTTCCATGTCTTCTTTCACCCGAAATGTCTTTCATATGAGAACCAGACTAATGGCTCTGAGCCCTTGGGTGGGTGCCCGTGCCCGGGCTCCGTCAAGGTGCAGGTCGCCTCCCATTAAGCGCTTTTATTCCATTGGAGTCCATGGAAGCCATTTATGGTATCGAGTTCCCCCTTTCTCTCTCTGCTGGCCCCGTAAGATGCCGTTTCCCTCCTGGATTTCCTGCAAGTGAAGAGTATACTTTAGCCTCATTCTGGCGTAAGTGGGCCTCTGTTGGCTAACCTGGGAGTCTGAACGCTCGTCTGCCGGCTCGTGCAGGAAAGCGTATTTCATGTTGCACGCATCTGTCTGCTGGGAACACTTGGATGCCGCCAGCCCTTGGTGAACGAAACGCCGCCTCTGTTCTGTGCCCAGCACCCCACCTAGAGAGCCCTAGTGCCCTGCAGCTATTAGCGGCTGTGACTTAAGCTGTGTCTCCTGCTCCCACTGTGGCTGTCTGCCCTCCCTGCCGACGAGCACACCATGTCCAACGACGTCTCCTTGTACCCTCCATGCCGTGCTCCCTACAAGGTCAGCATGGCACCTGCTGTTGTCACACAGAGCCCGTGCTGGCTCGCAGCAACCTCTGTCCAGTGTACCAGAGCCTGTGTGCTGCCGCCCGGTCTGGCACCATCTGCATGAGTGTTGGCCTCTCTGAATCCATGATGTTTCGTCTGTGGCCTCAGTCCATCGCACCGAGGGCTGTGGACCCAGGGTCCCTGTGCTGAGACGCTCCTAGACCCCGGAGAAGATTTATATGGAGATACACGGAGACTCCTGAGAAATGCCGAGCCCATGGATGGTGAAAGGAAACAAGGAGCCCCACACCCCCAGAGTTGGGAGGAGGGTGAGAAAGCCTTCCCTTTGAGCTGGGGCCCGGCGTGCGGATTTCTAGCCTCCCAGCCCGCGGAGAGAGCGAGTTTCTCTTGGCAACAACCATCCACCTGTGGTTGAAGCAGCACCAGAGACCTCAGCCCAGGTTCTGAGCGGAGAATTGAGAGCTGATGGGACTCCAGGAAGGCTGGCAACTTCCCGGGACAGTCAAGCGCTTGAGGCAGAGTGTGGCAGGGGAAGGTGGCCTCCGGGGCCAGCCTGGGAAGCAGGGCCTTTTCTCTCGGGGAGCTAGTGAAGCAGTTTTACGATAAAGGACGACGTTTTGGGTGTGCTAGCTGGGAAACACATGGAGTCGGTTATTTCTTAAGGGGTCCTGGTGGCAGGGTGGGTACACGTCAGGCTGCTAACTGCAAGGTCAGTCATTTGAAACCACCAGCTGCTCCCAGGGAGCAAGATGGGGCTTTCTACTCCTGTAGGAATTTACAGGCTTGGGAGCCCACAGGGCCAGTCCCTAGCCTATAGGGCCGCTATCAGTCAGCATCGCCTGGGTGGCAGTGGGGTTTTAAAAACTCCTTTGTTATCCAAAGTAGAGGGCAAACACTGGGTGAAGAGTCTCGTCACCCAGCAGCAAACTACGAGAACACGGCTCTTCCTGCAGCTCGGCACCCCACAGCAAATGCTCTTTCTTCTCTGCCTTCTGCAAAGACTGTCGTGTTCCTCGGGGGCGGGAGTGGGGGAGCAGGGAAAAGAGAGCAGTCGGCCAGGACATGACTCAGCCCCGCTCCTTCCTCTGGCCACTAATGGGTGTCCCCACCCCCTTCTCAATGAACCTGAGGGTCCACTTGTCCTCTAGTAGGTCTCCGACCCGCTGCTCACGGGGTGCGGAGCCACACACCTCCCGGGTCTGCCCCGCACAAACTTGAAGTGCTTTGGGTGAGCCCTGCCCCTCAGCTCGCTCACATCTCGTGGCCCTGGTTTCAGCCCCTTGCCATGGCCAGCACAGGGCGTGGCTGCTGGGGTAGAATGCACCAAGGCTGTTTGGCTGCCCTCACCTGGGGCCCCTCCAAAAGCCCCCGACTGCAATGGCGTGGCCCACAAATAGTGGTGGTGCGCCTCCGTGGGCCTGCCTCTCTCACCTCAGCCCTATAGTAGGTTCTGGAATACATCTCTCTGTTCTTCCACTGCCACGCCGAAGCCATCTGCTTCTCACAGTCGTGGGGGATAGGCTCGCCGCCGCCGGCGGTAAACGGGAGAGTGGGCGGGGAGAGGGTGGCCAGCAGCCACGAAGAAAGCCCATGTGGCCATTCAGGGCCCCCACTTTGTGCCCAGGAGTGAAGGGGGCACATCTTCAGGAGATGAGATGTGGGACCAAGTGACAGTGGCCAAGCAGAGAGGAGAGCCTGGGGGCAGAGGGTCACTAAGCTGAATGAGGCCCTGGGTCCCCAAGGCGGCTGTTCGGGCTTAGTCCCCAAGACTGCATCCTGCCCGCCGCGTTCCTGTCCCCGGGGAAGGAATGGTGGCTTGAGGTGGCTGCCGTCAGCCTGCCTCAAGCTGGTGGTCCGTGTGGAAGCACTTTGCACTCTGGGAGATGGCACAGGAGTGCCCAGCAAGCACAACAATGATGCCCAGTGTCCGTCCTCTCCTCCTGCCTCCAAAGCGAGGCTTCCAGACGTCTCCCGGCCGGCAGTCGTTGATCACAAAGCCCTGGAATGTTTCCCAACACCTCTGTCTCCGGCACGGGGACTTACCTCAACCCCTGTACTTCAGTGAACGAACATTTAAATCGACATTAAAAAGAACTGACTCTGAATTAGCCCCTACACGCCCGGGTGTTTGTTTAACTCACACACCATTAGCAGCATTTAGATCAAAAGAAAGTGCATTCTTATGACTAATTTGGTCTGTTGAGCATTTCTGTGTTGTTTGGTTGGTGGCTGTGTGTGTTTTTAATGCATTTGGGTAAGTTTTGCAAAATGTTTTCAGCCAGGCTTTCTTAAAGATTTTTCCCCTCTTTGATCGATAGTACTATTTGCTCTTTTGTTTTCACCCCAAGCACACATTCAGGGTAATGAATTCCATAAATCGCTCGCTAATAGAGGACCTTCTCTTGTTTATGATCCTTCAGGAGGGGCGGTGTGTCGCTCAGTCCCTTTGGCAGCCTGCTCTCCTCCCCACCAGTTGTCTCTAGAACAGCCCATCTGGAGGCGAGCGCTTTGGATGCTCTTCCGGGGCCTCAATGGAGTCCCCACTGCCACGGCAGGGTCAGGGTCACGCCGAAGTGCTCACTTGTGGGGTTTGCCTCAGATGTCTCTCTCTCTCTCTCTCTCTCTCTGTCTTTTAACTTCAGTAACTCCCTGCTTACTGGAAGCAGGTCTAGAATTTTCTAATCCATTGGCCAGAAAGTTCGACTGTGGGACATTTTAAGAGCCACAAAGTTATTAAGGTAACTACCCCGCCCCCCCACTCACTGCCAACAAGTTGATTCTGACTCAAAGCAACCCTATAAGGACAGAGAACTGCCCCCGTGAACGACAGCCTCATCTTTTTCCTGCGTAGTGGCTGGTGGGTTCAAACTGCCGACTCTGTGGTTAGCAGCCCCACGCGTAACCCAGCACGCTCCTTCCAGAGCCACTGATAGAAAGTATTCATTGCATAAGCTGCCAAGCAAAGGACGCGGGTATGAAACCCGGGGGCCTTCGGTGACCGGGCTTTGAGATTGAGTTCAAGAGTATGAGAAGCCAGTTTTTCCCACCTTAAGTGAACTTGCTAGGTGCATCTGTATAGGCGTGTGTGTGTGTGTGTGTGTGTGTGTGTGTGTGTGTGTGTGTGAGAGAGAGAGAGAGAGAGAGAGAGAGAGAGAGAGAGAGAGGAAGAGAGAGGAGGTTGCTGGGGGGAGCCTGGTTCTGGACTGCTGCTGCCACAGACCTACTAAAAGCGGGTGGCTTTAGCAAACAGAACTTTATTCTCTCACTGTGGGAGCTGGACCTCCAAATCCAGGGGACAGTTTGTCTCTCTGTGGGCTCTGGGCATAGGTCCTTGTCTCCTTCAGCATCTGTGGGGATGGCACTCCTTGGCGATGTTCACGTGGTTGGGCCCCGAGCTTCCCCTGGGTGTCAGAGTGTCTTGGTACAGGGTCCCCAGGCCCAAAGAATGAGCTCCAACCCCCGCTCTTCTTCTGTGATGGGAGTGGATCTCCCTGATCGTTGCTGCTTCTCTGGCAGGGTTAGGGATTAAACGTGTGTTACATCCCACGTGAACCCTCTGACAGCAGATTGAATCATCACATCTGGTCACGTGGTAGAGGGGGTGGGGCAGGGGCATTCCAGAACTGCCTAATTACATCCCATGTAATTGCCAAGCCAGAGAGTCATGGTCCAACCAAGTTGCACATGTTTTTTGGAGACACAGTTCCATCTGAGATGGTGGGTGAATCAAAAAGTATTTCTGCAAAATCACCGGACCCTTTATTAAACAAAAAGGTCAGAAGAGATTGTCTCAGGACATGTCTTATACCAGCCCTGCTATGTTAACAAAACACAGACAGCATGTTCCCACGCAGGTCAGTCCATGCCAATATTTATCCCTATGCAAAGAATATTACAGAGTAATTAATTACCTGTTTCAAAGATCCTCTAATAGGACCACTTAACAGGAGCATTGGTCAACTTGATCTAAGATCATAATGGAAAGTGGGGGCTCCCCCTCGGTGCCCAGTGAATCCGTTGTTGCCAGCAAGTTGGTTCTGACCGAAAGTGACCCTCTGCACAACAGAACAAAACACTGCCCCATCCTGTGCTGTCCTCACAACTGTCCCTCTGTCCCAGCACGCCCATGCAGCCACTGTGTCCATCCATCTCGTGAGTCTGATGGCCGGGGGATTTTTACAGGGGGTGTGGAGGGGGGGCAGTGGTGGCCCAGTGGGAGAGTTCTTGCCTTTCATGTGGGGCACCTGGGGTCAATTCCAGCCAGTGCACCTCACGCGCAGTCACCACCCTACTGTCCATGGAGACTTGCATGTTGCTGGAATGTCCAACAGGTCTCAGCGGAGCTTCCAGACTGAGAGGGACTGGGAAGAAAGGGCCAGCAGTCTGCTTCAGGACAGGCCACGGGAACCCTGAAGGAGCAAGCGGTCAGCTCGGTAGCAGTGTTAGTCCGGGTAGACTAGAGAAACAAGTCCCGAGACACTTGTGTGTATAAGAAAGAGCTTTATATACAAGAGCAGTTGAATATTGAGAAAACGTCTCAGCCCAGTCCAGATCAAGTCCATAAGTCTGCGATTAGCCCACATGTCTGATACCAATCTATAAATTCCTCTTCAGACTCACAAAACACTTGGAATGACGCCAGATGCAGGAAAATCACAGGCCAGCGGGCGCAAAGTCTTGGGGATCCAGTGGCAGTAGAGGCATCTCAGTGCTGGCAGGGGTCTCCACGTGACTCCTTCAGCACCAGGGCGCTAGCATAGCTTCATGTGTCTTGTCAGCAAGCATGTCTTCCAGGGTGTGAGCCTGTGTCCTGCCTCCAGCAAGTTCTTTATCTCCTTAGCGCCTCCATATGAGATCACCAAGCTGCGACCTGATTGACAGGCTACTACCACAGTAGACAACCATGAGGCTCGTGGCCCAGAACCAGGCGTGCTTCCCATTGCTGTGCATGGGGACCACCTCAGTGACCACTAACCAGAGCAGTAGCTGCCCCTGTTACTGTACAAAGGGACTTTGCTCCGTTGAGAATTCATCTTGTTACAGTGTGCCGTGGAATCTAATGGGAGGGATGGTAGAACCTACAAAGAATGGGTCCCCAAACCCACGGTTCCCTTCACAGAGGGGCAACGAGAACCTTTTGTACTCTAGCCCATCATCTGGCACAGTGTTGGCGTCTGCGTTTGCACCCTGATCGAGCAGTGCCACAGAGCTGATGGGCTGCAGTCCCGGAGCCCCGGGGTTGCCCCTGTCACCCGTTGGCTGCGACCTCTCACAAGAGGGTTTTGCTGAGCACCTTACGTCGCCGCCGCCATCTTCACACAAAGGCATGGCTGCCCACCCACCCCTTGGCCTTTGAAGTGTAAGTTATGGCTACTGTCCCTAATGGCTGTCCCATGCCCGCAGGGCGTGACCTACTGTGGAGAAAGTTCTGCCAGCAGCCTGACCATGGCCAACGTGCCCTGGCACGAGGAGGTGGTGCACTTTGTCCAGGAGCTGGTGTCCCTGATCCCCGACTACGGTGTCGCCTGTGAACACGAGCACTCCAACTGCCTCCTGATAGCCCACAAAAAGGTAAGGCGGCTCCATCGAGGCCCACCCTCTTCCTCCATGCACGCCTCTCCGTCCCCCCCGCCCCCCTTGCTTCACGGGGCCCTTGGTGCTCTGTCTGCGGGACTCAGTGTGTGAGCGGCTGCACCTCTGTTTAGCGTCACCTGGTGCATGTGTTTCTTGCTGTTTAAGGCAGGTGCCCGGTGCAGACACAAGCCAACCTCCTCTGTCCTTTCCTTGAATGTCTGGCGAGAGCCGAGACACAAAGCCGGCCCCAGGCAGATGTCTCTGTTGTAGAGGCAATGTTGGGGTGCCTACTGATGCAGAGGCACCCAGGAGGCTTTGTTCCTGGGATTCGGTTCATGCTTGTTCTCATTTTTCTCTTTCAGAGCCTCCTGGTAGACCCAGACCCCAGACCCCAGACCCCGTGTCTTTCTAGGTAGAGAATCAGTCATAAAATGAAGGAAAGACCCTCAGGGCTTGCGCACGGCAGCCCGACCCCCTCATGTGTCTCCCCTAGGAACGTGGACCAACAATGTGGTGTCTGGGCTTGGCGTGAAAGTAGTGGGTGCGGAGTGGGTGTGGGGGGCATGGGGGGTCTGCACAGGTCAAGGGTGGTTGAGGCGGAGGGTGGTGCCTGGGGTGTAGCATGGCCAGCCGCCCTCTTTCCTGTGCCCACTCCCCATTCAAAGGGGCGTTTGATCCTGTTGATGGGCTCGAGCTAGAAAACACTGAGCTCCCCGAGAGAAACCAGCACACAGGGTCACCCAGACCGATCCCCTGCTATAAAACACCCAGAAAAGGTCGCTCCCCAGAGCCAGGGAGCAGCTGGGTGGCAGCCAGGCCCTGGCAGGGAGAGGGGACCAGAAGTCGCTGCTGAGAGCTACGGAGTTTCTCCGTGGGTGATGCAAATACCTGGACCCTCTACAGCGATGCTGGCTTTGTGAACGTATCAGAAACCATCGACGTGTGCACTTTAAAAGCTGGGATTTTGTGGTTCGCGAAGCACAACCCAGTATAGCTGTTACTTGGAGAAACAAAAAGAGGGCGGACCACTTGATAGGGTCCCAAAGGTGGGAACAGGACAAGGACTTGCAAACGGCCTTCTTACAGAAATGACTTTTTTCCAAGTCAAAACCCAAAGGCCACCCCCCTTGCCATCAAGTCCCCTCTGACCCGCAGGGACCATACAGGACAGAGTGGAACTGCTTCGTGGGGTTTCCAAGGTGGCGAGTCTGTGGGGAAACGGGCAGCCTCATCTTCTCCCCGCAGAGGGGCTGGTGGTTTCACACCACTGGCCTTTTGGTCATCAGCTGGGCACTTTGATCAATCAAGCACTGCACCTCTGGGACTCCTCATGGAAGTAACGTGAAATGAAGAGCTCCTCCACCCCAGTAACGCCAGTGCCCTCCTGCGAGGGAAGTGAGACCGCCGTTCTCTGAGGCCACACGTGCTGACCTGTTTAAGTCCGTCTGTTCCCGGTCCTGATCCCATCTGGCCTGACACCAGCTGCCCAGACAGCCCTTCCTCCTCTGAGCCGGTGCGAGGTCAGAGCTCACGAGGTGAAGGGCACAGTCCTCAGACTGCTCGGTCGACCCAAGACCTCACATGCCAGCCGCAGCTTGACCCCACGCCAGCCTCACTTCTGACCTGCTGGCTACAGTGAGGGTTTTCCCACGGCCCCTCAGGATACCTGCTGTCAGCTCAGGAGTCCCCAGCCCCTCATGTCTGACCTGCTGTCCGAGGGTCCTCGTCTCCTTTCAACACCTGTGGGTTTCGTGTTCCTCGGGGAGCTCCCTGAGTCTGAGTGCCCCTCTTCTGTTGGGCTGAGAGGTTCTCCGCACAGGGGCTCGAGGTCCAGAGCCCGATGCTACCATGGAGCCCTCTGATTTCTGCCCACTTCCCTCTCCTTTCTCCTCCTGCAAGGTAGACAGTGATGCTCGCCACACCCCAAGGAACACTCCTGACATGGGATCAGGGCTGTGCCCTGAGGGGGGAGTGTTACGCTCCATGGTTAGCCCCTTACATCAGGGTCAAGGGTGACCACATCACGGAGGATGATCACGTCTTTACATAGCCGCCGAACCAGGGAGAATCATAGCCCAGCCAAGTCGGCACGTACTTTGGGGGACACGGAGAGAGTGAGGCTTGTACACAGCAGGATGAATGTGACTGACATCATTGAATTTTCTCTCGGAAAAGTTTCTGAGTTGGCGAATGTTTTATTATGTATATCTTCTACTTCCTCCTCCCCCCCAAAAAAAGTCTCGGACTCCTGTAGGGGCTAAGGAACCAGAGCCACTTCAACCTTTTCTGTTCCTTCATTCCTGGTCCTTATTCTACAGTGACTTCTGAGAAGCAATTTTCTTAAAAGAGTACAAATTAGATTAGTTCCTTTCATTGAACTGGAATTCTTAATCAGGCTTTTTACTCATTAGGCATGAGATGCACATTTGACTTAAAAAAAAAAAAAGGCTATCTTAAGTCATTTCGTTGGCAATTCAAAATGGGAAGGCATTGATTGAAGGGGCCCCCCAAACACAAACACACCTTAGTCATGAAAAGGATTTTTAATTCCACAGGTGCTGTAGACACAGCCATGAAAATTCAGACCAGGTAGGCAGCGGCAGTGGCAGCAGCAGAAATTAAAAATAGCTTGGCTGTGACCATGCGATCAAAGGAAAAAAGCCATCATAACTCCCTGTGTCTGATACAAAGGGTGGCACCGACCGTGGCCCCCGAAAGGTGGCAGTCTGAATCCAGGAGGAGCCGCAGCCTCGGAAAGCCTATGGGACAGTTCTGCCCGGCTGAGTCACAGTCCTCTGGCAGGCTGTGGGTGTTGGGCAGCATAGTAGGCTGTGTGTCGGGCTGCCAGCCACAATGTCAGCAGTTCGAAGCCACCAGCTGCGCCATGGGAGAAAGACAAGGCTTTCTGCTGCTATAAAGACTCAACTGCCTCAGAAGCCCACAGGGGCAGTTAGTCCTATTCTGTCCCATTGGTCCCTATGAGTCAAAATCGGTGGCATTTTGGGGCTTTTTTTTGGTATTGGTCAGGATTAACTTGACCTCCAGGTCCAGGAAGGATTCTTTGTTCAGCAATCATGTATGTGTTCCCAGGCTGGTGCGCCAGCAGTTCTGGGGCGAAGAGACTCCCTTCTGACCACGGATCCCGAGCGGGAGGAAGAATTGTCTGTCACATGATAGAAAACATCTTGATTTTTGTTGTTGTTATTATTTCACTCCCCCCGCCCAGTGGGTGTCTTTGTGCCATTAAGACCTTTTGGCTCTGACTTGACCATTTGTTTATGTATTTATGCTCTCTCTCTCTCTCTCTCTCTCTTTCTCTCCCTCTCTCTCCCTCCCTCCCTCCAGTTTAAGGTTGGTGGAGACTGGTGGACGTGGATCGATTATGACCGCTTCCAGGAGCTCATCCGAGAATACGAACGGAGCGGGGGGTCCAAAACGTTCAGTGCGCAGGAGTACATGGCCCGGACGCCTCCGTGGGCCTTATTCGGTGCCCACGAGAGGGGCTTTGATCCCAAGGACACCAGACATCAGAGGAAGCACAGACCCAAGAATGTTTCTGGCTGTTGAGATCATCTGACTTCTGCGGGCCCAGAATTGGCTGCCCAGAAGGTTCTTGGACTCCTACCCCCACCCCCCGCCCCAAGGACATATGTCACAGATGACATTTCATAAGGGAAAAGGCTCGAAGGTGAAACAAGGGGACAGTCCAGTGCCCGGAGTGGGAGTGAGGTCGTTTTGTTTTGTTGTGAGGGAGAGATACAATCATTAAACTTTAATCGGAGTATGTTAGATTTTACTCAGTAGAGCTTCTGACGTGTTGTTCATGAGAGCACAGGAAAGCACCATCCAGGCTGCTCCCTCTAGCCCGGCCTGCGGCCTCGGAGGGAGAGCCACTCTGATTTCGCTACCCGGAGGGAAATGTGTCTTTCTGAGAGACGCACCGGGCCCCTTCTTCCCTCTCAACCTGGCATCTCCCGAACACAGAAGCTAGGCCGTCTTAATTGCTAATTATTTTACAGCAGCCACTGCTTGGCTTTTTTTTTTCTTTCTTAGTACCAATCCATTAGGAAATTGAATTGAATTTCAGCATCCCTCCATCTTACTCAGCCGTCCCCTTCCTCCACCCCCACCCCCACCCCCCGCCACAGAAGGCAATTTATGGGCTGGATTAGAGGGACCAAGCTTTTCTTCTCTGAAAGGAATCACCGTACAAGGGCACTGATAAATTAGTCCAACAAACTTTGCAACAATGGGATATCCCGTTTTGTTTCCTTTTTTCCTGTTGCATTCAAGTCTGGCCCCCCTACACAGTCCGCTGGTCTCCCCTCCCCCCACGCCGCTAGCTCTGGCCATTTGACTCTATCTGTTCTTTATGGTTTAAGTTTTTCTCTAAGTGGAAATATTATGAAATAAGTCATCTTTCTTTTCTCTCCAAAAGTTAAAAGATATTTTGAAATTCTTTTACCCTAAAAATGGAACTAATAAAGTACTCTCTTGTAAGGACCTGGCGCACAACTTTTCTTGGCTGCTGCCTTCAAAACCGCCTTAGTCCGAAGGTTCTCAACCCTACAGCTCCACCGCCCCCTTCTCCATCACCTGCTTTGTAACTCTCTTCCTGGGGGCGGAATAAAGCCCACGGACAATAGAATCTACCCAGCATCCTCAGCGACAGCCTGCTACCATCCTTCTTTATAAATGGGAAAATCCAAATCAAGAGGCTTCGGCAATGGGTGGCACATTGCCGGAGGCACTCACTCCTCTAGCCAAGAAATCGGGAAGACAGCTACCTGGCTGGCCGACTGGAAGAGAGCCATCTCTGCTCATGCTGAAAGGGTGAGCCCACAGGATGTGAAAATTATTGAACAATACCATTAATAACATGCGAGAGCAAATGTTTGCTGAATGTAACTCAAGAACGGTCACAGTAATGCATCAACAGAGAACTGTCAGAGATTAAAGCCAGGTTCAGAAAAGGTTGTGGCATGAAGAAGATTATTGCTGAAATCGGATGGCTCTTAACGGGAAGCAGAGAATACCAGGGGGTGGGGTGGGGAATGTTTTCTTGTTTTATTGACTGTGCAAAGGCATCCAGCAGTGTAGATCATAACAGATTTCCGATAACCTTGTGAAGAATGGGAATTTCAAAACACTTAATTGTGCTTATTTGGAACCTGACCAAGAGCCAGTTGTTCAAAAGAACAAGGGAGATGCTGCCTAGTTTAAAATCCAGACAAGTACACCCCGCAGTTGTATCCTTCCATTGTACTTGCTTAATCCGTGTGCTGCACAAATCATCCGAACAGCTGGGCAATATAAAGAACGCAGCATTGGGATCGAGGAAGGCTCACGAACAGTCTTCCACTTGCAGCTGTTGCAGCCTGGCTTGCTGCAAGCGAAGAGGCCTTGAAACACCGATGGAGGTCCAAGGCTACCGTCTTCCACGTGGATGGTACTGTAACCTAGAACAAAAAGCCTCACCACTGGACCACTAGACAATTGTCATGATGCACAGAAAAGATTGAAGTTGTCAAAGAGTCCCTTCATTTCACTTGGAGTCGTAGTCAAGAAACCATCTGACACATGACATTGGACGAATATGCTGTGAAAGCCCTCTTTAAAGTGGGACACAGCCAAGAGGTCACTTTGAGGACCAAGGTGCACCTGACCCAAGCCATGGTATTTTGAGTCTCCTCATATGCCTGTGAAAACTGGTCATGGAATAAGGAAGACCAAAGGATGGATGCATTTGGATGAGGATACTGGTGCAGCATGTTGGAAGTACCACAGACCACCAGAAGAACCAACAAATCCATGTCGGCAGAAGTACAGCCAGAATGCTCCTTCGTAGTGATGGTGGTGAGAGACTTTGTTACTGAAGGACCAGTCTTTGAAGAAGGACATCATGCTCGGTAAAGTAAAGGGTCGGCAAAAAGAAAAAAGCCCCTCAACAAGATAGCTGACACAGTGACCAACAATCGTGAGGATGGTGCAGGCCACACGGTGTTCCGTTCAGGTGTCCACAGCGTGGCTTAGCGTCAGAACCGACTGGAGAACACCGAGCCAAAGCGGCGGTGACTCAACGTCAAAGACACACAATCAAAGATATTAAAACGTGGCCACTGCCACTCAGGACGGGGGGGTCTCCGTGCGAGTGTGTGCTTGGTGATCTTGTCTGGGGAGACACTGGAGGGGGACAAGGTGGAGGGCAGGCAGAACATTTTAAGCCGAGAGCCCAGCCCGCTCAACAGCCTTGCGGGGTTGGGACATAAGTAGCTCTAGGAAGACGAGGCTGGACAGAGCTGAGGGCTGACACAGATGGAGGAAGCTGTCGGGCCACACAAGGAAGCCTGGGGACAGAATGGGCCATGACTCAGGAGATGTAGGCCAGCCCTGGCCTTCAGAGCAATTATGCTAAGGAGCAATATGATTAGATTTGCATTTTAATCAGATCCCTCTGGCTGCAGTGGGAAATGACTTGGAAAGACCAGCGGGCAAGATGAGTTGGCAGGTGCCACTTTAGAAGGGGCGAGGAGTGAGTGGGCAGGTGCGGTGCACACCCAGACACGCTGGTTGGTGATCGGGGTGGGAACAGGAGGGATTCGGGGAGACCTGACCAGTAATGTTTTTCAGCTTGTCCACTCACTGGCTGCATGGATTGGAAGAAATGGAAAGTCAGGGACGATGCCTGGGTTTTGGGCTTGAAAATAGGAGGGATGATTCCGCCAGTCTCCAGGTTGAGTCTTGCTGGAAGGAACTGGCCTAGGGTGGGGCGGGGGTAGAGATCTGGAGTTTCCTTGTGGATGTGGCAGCTTCAAGAGGCCTTTGAGAAAAAGGCTGAGTCAGAGAGTTCTGGGGATGTCTGAGGTGCCAACAGAGGTGGGTGAGTCGTCTGAGCAGTCTCAAGGAGGGACGAGACCAGCCTAAGGAGAGGAGAGACCACGTCTC